CCCTTCATTGAACAGATACTACAACATATCCCCTTCACTGAACAGATACTACAGCATATTCCCTTCATTGAACAGATACTACAACATATCCCCTTCACTGAACAGATACTACAGCATATCCCCTTCATTGAACAGATACTACAACATATCCCCTTCACTGAACAGATACTACAGCATATTTCCTTTACTGAACAGATACTACAACATATCCCCTTCACTGAACAGATACTACAACATATCTCCTTCATTGAATACATACTACAACATATCCCCTTCACTGAACAGATACTACAACATATCCCCTTCACTGAACACATACTACAACATATTCCCTTCATTGAACAGATACTACAACATACCCCCTTCACTGAACAGATACTACAACATATCCTTCTGTCAGAACAGATACTACATATTCATGCTTTAGCAGTTTAGGATATATTACAGCATGTCCTTGCCATTGAACAAATACTGTTTTGCTGTTGTTACAGAGCTTCATTCTCTGCTTAACTAGATTAACTTTGATTTTGTCGAATCTGTTTTGGCCCAACTAAACAAATATTGTTTTCAGTTTGATACTTGCAAGTGTTTTCACGCGGAATCGAATAACTAGTTTTGAATGAGAACAGGTTCTCTCTCTCGCAGCTAGAAGGATAAAAAAATGATGAAGAAAATATGGCACCGTGAAAAATAGAGCTAGGCGCTTTTGAAGTGCGGATAGAAATAAGCAAACTACGCCCTTTGTGAGTTAAGTATGCAAATAAGGCAGGAAGTGCTGGTGGAAGGAACACAAACAGATAACATCGTTCTCGTTCCTCTCTTTTGATGCAAAGTTTCAAATTAAATCTTTCATTTTAAAGAGATCAAAGAAAATTAAAGCAAAGTGAGTGCTTTTAACGAACGATCTATTCGTGTCCTCCTTAAAAAGAAAAGTGCTTCATTCAGCGGTGTCTCAGAGAAGCGTAGAAGCGGAAAGAAATAGCTTTGTTTGTTTTTTAACAATATATTAATCTGCAGACATATTCAATTACCATGCATCTTCCTGTTTACATTGAACAGGATTCCTTGATGTCGTTAAAGATTTATTTCTCTGTCTGTGAAACACTGAAAACAAGTTATTAAGTTTAAATATTCCAAGTAACTTTCGTATCACTTTAAAAAAAAACACTTGCTAAATATCTTTTTCTCGTGTTCCTTAAATCTCAGTTTGTTACGTAATTATTCGAATGTTGGATTAAAAATAAACGAATGA